TCCAGGTTACCATTGAAGAAATTCTCTATATTGCCATGAAAATTATTTTCTAGTTTTCCACAAGGTATATTCTTGGTTACTATGGGAGATATTCTCCAGGTTGCCATGGGAGATATTCTCTTGGATACTATGGAAGATATTCTCTTTGTTATCATGGAAGATATTCTCTTAGATACTATGGAAGATATTCTCTTGGTTACCATGGGAGATATTCTCTAGGTTACCATGGGAGATATTTTCTAGGTTACTATGAGAGATATTCTCCGGGTTACTATGGGAGATATTCTCCAGGTTACTATGGGAGATATTCTCTTGGTTATCATGGGAGATATTCTCTACGTTACCATGGGAGATATTTTCTAGGTTACTATGAGAGATATTCTCTAGGTTACTATGGGAGATATTCTCTAGGTTACTATGAGAGATATTCTCTAAGTTACTATGGGAGATATTCTCCAGGTTACTATGGGAGATATTCTCTAGTTTACCATCAGAGATATTATCTAGGTTACCATTAGAGATATTCTATTGATCACCTTGGGAGATATTCTCTTGGTTACCATGGGAGATATTCTCCAGGTTACCATGAGAGTTATTCTCCAGGTTACCATGGGAGATATTCTCTAGGTTACCAAGGGAGATATTTTTCGTGGTACATATTCTCTTAGTTACCATGAGAGATATTTTCTAGGTTACTATGAGAGGCAATCTTTTGGTTATTATGGGAGACATTCTCCAGGTTACTATGGGAGATATTTTCTAGGTTACCATGGGAGATACCGGTATTCTCTAGGTTACCATGGGAGATATTCTTCTAGTGGATATTCTCTTAGTTACCATGAGAGATATTATCTTAGTTACCGAGGGCGATATTCTCTTCGATAGCATGGGAGATATTATCTAGGTTACCATGGGAGATATTCTCCAGTTTGTCATGGGAGATATTCTCCAGGTTGCCATGGGAGATACTCTCTTGGACACCATGGGAGATATTCTCTAGGTTACCATGGGAGATATTCTCTAGGTTGCCATGGGAGATATTCTCTAGGTTACCATGGGAGATATTCTCTAGTTAACCATTGGAGTTATTCTCTTAGTCATCATGGGCGATATTCTCTTAGTCATCATGGGCGATATTCTCTTAGTCATTATGGGCGATATTCTCTTAGTCATCATGGGCGATATTCTCTTAGTCATCATGGGCGATATTCTCTTAGTCATCATGGGCGATATTCTCTTAGTCATCATGGGTGATATTCTCTTAGTCATCATGGGCGATATTCTCTTAGTCATCATGGGCGATATTCTTTGTGGTAGATATTCTTTTAGTTACCATGGGGAATATTTTCTTGGCTGCCATGGGAGTTATTCTCCTGGTTACCATGAGAGATATTGTCTAGGTTACTATGGGAGATATTCTCGAGGTTTTTATGAGAGATATTTTCTAGGTTGCTATGGGAGATATTCTCCAGGTTACCATGGAAGATACATGATTGTATTCTCCAGGTCACCATGGAAAATTTTCTCTTGGTTATCATGGGAGATATTTTCCAGGTTATTATGGGATATAGTTTTCAGGTTACTATGGAAGATGCATGTATTATCCAGGTCACCATGGGCAATTTTCTCTTGGTTATTATGGGAGATATTTTCCAGGTTACTATGGGAGATAGTCTCCAGGTTACTATGGAAGATGCATGTATTCTCTAGGTCACCATGGAAAATTTTCTCTTGGTTATCATGGGAGATATTTTCCAGGTTACTATGGGAGATCTTCACTAGGTTACTATGGGAGATATTTTCTAGATTACTATGGGAGATATTCTCCTGGTTATCATGGGAGATATTCTCCAGGTCACCATGGAAAATTTTCTCTTGGTTATCATGCGAGATATTCTCCAGGTTACTATGGGAAATATTCTCTAGGTATCATGAGAGGTATATGTGTACTCCAGGTTACCATTGGAGATATTCTCTAAGTTACCATGGAAGATATTTTTTAAGTTAGTATGGGAGATATTCTCCTCGTTTCGATGGAGATATTCTTAAGGTTGCCATGGGAGATATTCTCAGGGTTACCATATTTTTCCATGACATGGTTTTTTCTCAGATACATGTATGTTCATTTCATGATATGTGTATGAGAATTTTAATTTGGGGTACTGGATCAATTAGCAGAGATATAACAGGTCTTTTTCTGTAATTGTTAAAACAATAATTGACTGTAAGTAGTCATGTTAAAAACTATATGTTGTCAACATGCTGTAACTACATGTTAAAACTACATTTTGTGCATGTGTTCAAACTACATGCTGTCTAGTCATGTTAAAAACTACATGTTGTCAACATGTGAAAACTGCATGTTGTCAACATGTTAAAACTGCATATTTAAACTACATATTAAAACTACATGTTAAAACTGCATGTTAAAACTACATGTTAAAACCACATATTAAAACTACATGTTAAAACTGCATGTTAAAAACTACATGTTGTCAACATGTTAAAACTACATATTAAAACTACATGTTAAAACTACATGTTCAAACTACATGTTAAAACTACATATTAAAACTACATGTTAAAACTACATATTAAAACTACATATTAAAACTACATGTTGTTTACGTGTTGAAAATCTACATGTAGTCTACATGACAAACTGTTGTCTGTATACCGATGACATAATTTAAAAATGACTGATTACTTATGAGGTTCAGTTCCCCAGAACTCTCTATCCTGGGATTAAAAAAGTAATTAATCTATTATACAAATTTGGTTCCTACTCTGAGGGTGTGCAGACATGTCCGCAGGGATTTTAGATGAATAGGCTAGAGAGCTCCATGAACCAACTGGTTTGTGGGATGAAGTACTTATATGACTATAAATATCTTTAAATATATAAAGTTTTATAAATGAACAATTAATTCCTCATAGATCATGTTGAATTTCAAGTCACATCTTGGTAAATATTTATCTATAGACTCTCAAGACGATCATTAATTCTCACTATTCTAAGTCTGTTGCCAAGGCAATCTGATTGAGACAGATATGTTTTTGACTCTCGTGTGCAAAGCACACATTGGGGGTCTTTGCAGTTAGGCTGTCTGTATGTGTGTGTGTGTAGGTGTCCTTTCCACTGATATCTCAAGACCCGTATGATGGTTTTTGATGAAACTTGGTGCATATATAGATACTTTGGGTTAATGCACAGATTTGATTAAGTTTTGGTTGAAACCATAGATATTAATTACCTAATTGTGTGATAATTAGCTAATTTGTAGCTGTTCCATGACTGTTCCTCTGATATCTAAAGAGCCACTCATTGGATTTTGATGAAACTGTGTACATAAAGCTATGGACTAATGCACAGACTGGTCAGTTTTGGGTAAAAATCCTTGCATATTAATTCCCTAATTTACATAATGATTAGTAAATTTTTCGGCTTTTCCACTGATATCTCGAGTACTAATCATCACATTTCAATGAAATTCGGTACATACATGTAGATGTCACAGGACATTGCACAGACCTGAGAGGTTTTAGGTTAAAATCTGTTCATATTAATTACTCAATGTGCATAATAAGTTGTGATTTTTTTGACAATGTGATGATCTAATTAGTTTTGGGTTTATTTATATACATTCATAATAATTACCTAATTTGCATAATCAGCTTTTCAACTAATTTAGTTAAAGTTAATCATCACATCATAACAAAACTTGGTACATTTCCACCCTGAAGCAATACACATGCCTAAATCTATGCATAATAAGTGCTTAAATTATATAATAATTCATTTTTAATTGATTATTTTAATGTTGAAAAACATGCTTATTGATCTATTATTAGCCCATCATTGATATCTAAAAAAATCTGATTTAAATTGAATTTATCACAGAGGTGCTCTGAAATTAATTAGGCTGGAAACCACAGATGAAAAAAACCCAAATGTATTTTGTGTATTCTAAATTTTGAAAATGTGAAACACATTGTTTTCACATTGTACATCTCAAATAGCAGACAAATAATAGTTGCCAAGCTTCTTGTTTGTATAAAGGCTAATTTTAAATTTTGAATTAATTTTAATGTGTCCCAATACTGTCAGCACACAGGAGTTCTTTTTAAGCTTTCTTTGACTTTCATAGAAGGAACCAACAGAATATGTTGAAAACTAATTTGACTGAACAGAAAATCTAACGTAACATAATCAATGCACTCAGTGCCAGCTGCATGTACACATACAATGTATTATAAATAGTTTATTTTTGTCTCATAATTCAGAATAAGATTTCAAGTTAAATTAATACATGCATGACATGTGTGGCAATGTTGTAATCAATTCTTGTGCACACAATCGATTTCATAATGAAGACAATAATGATATGCATACTTTGTCAGGTCACATGTTTCATAATGAATAATTGCTATGAATAAATGAACTCTAGAACTGCATTGAAGAGAAGACATATAACATGTATATTCAATTGAAATCTGCTATTTATATACTCCTATTTTAAAAGCAAAGTTGAACTATTATCAACGTGTGTGATCTGCTAAGTTTGTTAATTATATACAAGATGCATCACCACCATATCACATAATAGTTTTACCATTATGCAGTGAAATGTTAACTGGAGCTTAATTTCTAGCTACAAAATGTAATAAGCAATGGTTCATTTTTTACAGAATGATTATTACAGTTGCAATTTTTGGTGAATTGTAGCAAATATGATCATGACAATCGACAAAATTGTAGTTACAGGACATTCATGTGCAATAGAGCAAATATGCATAGCATGCTGGGAAATTTGTATTCACTTTTATATAACAGTTCTTGGTCATTTCATTTTTGGGATATACATGTCTCAAGCATTCAGGAAAGGGTCTTTTTTTAAATAGTCCAGGATATACAGTTTTCTGAAGATGGTTCAAATTAACCCTACATAGTACTAAAACAATCAATCACAACTAATTGTATTTGTATTTTCTACCCGTAGATGTTGGAGTCACCATGACAACACTTTTCTGTACATGTTATTAGAATATGCCTGCGGTGGTGAATTGTTCACATTCTTACGTGACCAGGGACGTTTTAATACGGCTAATGCCTTATTCTATGCGGCAGAGATAATAACATCTTTAGATTATTTACATAATCTTGACATTGTGTACAGAGACTTAAAGCCGGAAAATGTACTACTCGATCGAGATGGACATGTTAAAATTACAGACTTTGGATTTGCTAAGAAGTTAGAAGATAAGTGAGTATATATTAAATATTCATGTTATTTCAAAAATATTTGTAGTTCAAGACTTTTCACACTCTTCTCTAATTCTTTTGATAATTAAAAAGTATTTTTGAAACTTTTTTGAAAGTCATGATAACTTATAGGCTTCATTATGGTTTCTATACTACAACAATTAGGTGTCATTTATTTTCATAAAATCTGCCTGTTTGGGACAGGTGGATAGAAGTTAATGTCAACGCTTGCTTATGGTCTATTGTTGACCCATTCATTTATATTTTTGTTCGTTGATTTATGTCTTGTGTACAATAGAAGTACACAGCAGCTGTAAAGTGTAAACTTCATTGATTATACCACGAGATAACATCACTTTTAGTAATGAAAATATCTCCTGTAGACTGCAAAGGTTGCAGGGTTCAAACATGCTCATCTTCACCTCGATATGTACACTTTGCACCTGCTAACATAAACTTATCTAAATCTTATTACTCAGTAAAAAAACACTCCATTATATATACAAGGATGTGTGCAATAATGGTCAAGAATCAGTCAAGCCCATTATTTAAATGACGACAGTCGTTGTGCCGCATCTTTTTTTTTTTTGTATGATTTTTTTTATTTTTCACACAACATAAAAATATACAATAACAAAAGCATACATACACAAAAAAAAAACTGAAACGAAAACAAGAATGAGATGTGGGCTAAT